TTCAACTGTCACCCACACTGTTTCCTACACTTTCACCGAAGTTTGCCCTTGGACTGTTCCAAAGGTCTAGTAGAGACTGGAGGGATGCCCCGTCTTACAAGGGTGGATAAAGGCAGACCCGACCCAGCCACAGTTCCTCTCCCACGAGGTGACCAGTCTCCTTCTTTTATGCCCCAAGATGACAGATGACAATGACATCTGATTACAACCATCCCTTTCCTCCTTTGGGACACCAAGAGGTGGGCTGGTTCTATACCTTAACAGAGACATGATGAAATGGCAACCACGCTGAAGCTGTCATGACATAAAGAAAGCTCTGAAGACCAAAGCACAGAGTATGTTCTTGTTCCGTCTCATCATTCGAGCTTCCTGCGGGTGGTCTCCAGGGAAAGACACGGCTGAGGCCTTGCTGGGCCCAGCTCTCCTGGAAGACAGAACAAGAGCTTCTGCTGGTGACCTGTGAAGCCCTCCCAACCCTTGGGCCATCCAGGGTCCCTCAAACACCTGCAGTAACTGAAAAGTTCAGAATAATCCTCCAGGTACCACAAGTCCAGAGAATGTGGGTGCCAGATAACATAAACAAGATACTGGACAAAATCGATTCAAACTTCAGACACAAAACCAAACTTCTCATATTTATCAATATGGCATTTCTCAGGCAGAAAACACAAAAGCAAAGTATCTGGACCCAAATTAGCAACTGACAATCCTTGAAGTTCTCAGGCCTTCAGGCAAACAAGACTCTCCATGGTCAAATAAGCCCCGAGTTCTGACTGGGCACACACACCAGTCCCCTGCCTTCTCACCTGCAACTCTCGTGGGGATTCCCCAGATGCAGAGGGTGACTGGTCCTGTGCCCACAGCAGCTACACTGCTGCAAGAAACAGGAAGCAGTAGCCAGTAAAGCCCACAGACATGCAGCCGCAGGAAACGTCCCATCCATAAAGCCTAATTTACTACTTGTCTTTACCTTCTTAATTGCACAAAACGTTTGAGATCACTTGCATGAATTCTTATAGTAAATGACGTATGTGAAATTAAGATCTTATCATATGGTCAACTAATATTTCATACGAGAGCCAAGAACATCCAATGGGGAAAGGATAGTCTCTTCCATAACTGGTGCTGAGAAAACAAGATAAACACAGGCAGTAAAATGAAAGCGGACCCCTACCTTACACCACGCACAGAAATTAACTCAGCGTCGATCAAAGACTTACACGTAAGACCTGAAACTTTAAAACTCCTAGAAGAAGCTTCTCGTCATTGATCTTGGCAAAAATGTTAGAATATGACACCAAAATTACAAACAACAAGAGAAAAAGAAACAAGTGGGACTACAACAAACTTGAAGGTTCCTGCCCTGCAAAAGAAACAAGCAGCAAATGAGAAGACAGCCTACAGGATGGGAGAAGATATTTGCAAACCATGTATGTGTCTCCCCCACTTTTCAAAGGTTTGCTTTATGCCAGTTTGCTTTTACAAAAGACCACTTTTGTATTAGTACCTGTGTCCCCTAACTCAACGAAATCAAAGAAGTTTTTCAATTTTATGGAAAAAGGCAAAAAGCTAAAAAGCATTCAGCATCTGTTTCGTAGCAAGATGTTATGGGGCAGTGCTCACCCTGAGCAGCGAGAGTGACACCACCGTCTCCTTTCCCAGGAGCTACACTCAGCACCTCAGCACCTCAGCACCACGCTGCCCGGGCTTCGAACTGTGTCTGAACACCTGCGCTCTATGCCGATTTATTTTGTTCATTTGTTAGCAAGATGTGTCCTAAGGGAACTGCTTCTTCACCTTACTTCACTTTGGCTTTCAAAAGATTTCAGAGGAATGCTCTACTTTCAGAGAGTAGGGGAAACTTATATCAGATAAGGGGTTAACATCCAAAAAACACATTAAGAACTGACAGAACTCAATAAACAAAAAGCAAACATTCTGATTAAAAAGTGGGCAGAGGAACCAAATAGACATTTTTCCAAAGAAGACATTTGAATGGCCAACGGGCATGTGAAAATGTATTCAATATCACTAGTCAGGGGAATGCAAATCAAAACCACAATGAGATATCACCTCACCCCTCTAAGAATGGCTGTTATCAAGAAGACAAGAGATAAGAAGTATTGGTGAAGCTGTGGAGAAAACGGAACACTTGTGCACTACCGGTGGGAATATAAACTGATTTAGCCACTATGGAAAACAGTATGGAAATTCCTCAAAAAATTAAAAATGGAACTACCATATGACCCAGCAATCCTACTTCTGTACATATCCAGAGGAAATGTAATCAGATTATCGAAGAGACGTTTGCATGCCCATGTTTATTACAGCATTATCCAAGCCAAGATGTGGAAACAACCTAAGTGTCCATCAACCAGTGAGTGAATAAAGATGTGAGATACACACACACACACACACACACACACACAATGAAATACTACTTAGTCTTGAGAAAGAAGGAAATTCTGCCATTTGCAGCAACACAGAAGGACCTTGAGGACATTATGCTAAGTGAGATGAGCCAGAGAAGGATAAATATAGTGTGATATCTTTTATATGTAGAATCTAAACAAACAAGCAAACAAAAAACTAAACTCAAGAAAACAGAGTGGAATGGTGGTTACCAGGGCCTGGGGGCTAAAGGAATGGAAAAGATGTTTAAGAGTACACGCCTACAACTGGTAGATAAATAAGTCCTGGAGATCTAATACACAGTACGGTGATTACAGACAACAAAACTGTACTGTGAACATTAAACTTGCTAAGAGACTAGATCCACCACTAGAAAAAAATGGTAATTATGTGAGGCAACAGAGGTGTTAGCTGAAACTACAATGGCAATTGTATTGCAGTTCGAATGTATCAAATCAGTCTGTTACATACCTTGAACTTACAGAATGTTGTATGTCAATTATACCTCAATTTTTTTTAAAAGATCTTAAATGCACAGGTAGGATGAGAGATTTAGTCCAAAGGAAAAAATTTTAAATGTAGATATCCTGACTGCAGTCCTACAGAAATTAACAGGAATTATTATTTATCTACATATTTTAATCTGAGCTTCCTGGTGGTTGAAGCAAAATGAGAAATACAGTAGGGTATATAATTTGCATTTTCCAAAAGGAAAACACAGTTATGTTTCTTAGCTCTCCTTGCACTTAGATCTGAACAAAATTTCTCTCATGGTCTTCTTTGGAGTGAATAACGAATGATATTATAGCATTTAAAACACTATAGTCCAGGAAGAGCTTTTTAGAGGTCCAGCTTAGAACATGGATAAAACCTACATTACCCAGGATAAAACCTACATCACCCAGGAATAGACTAACAGCCTTCCAAATACCCTTCATAGATTTTTCTACATAGGTTTTTGATAAAAAGCGGTCAACAGGTTATTCAGGGAGACCTTCTCAGTCAAGAGCTTGTGGTATAACACACTCTGCATTGCTGATTAACAGTAAATCCACATACTTCAAAAATTAGCTGCCCAAGGACTTTGAGTTAAACCTAGTAGATTGACTACACACATTTCTGCCTCCACCTCACCAAGATCCCACTGATGAAAATAAACGAACAGAAAGGTTGGGAGAGGTAACATTAACAGACAAAAAATATGAATGGAATTTCAGGAGTGATAACTGACTCACTTGGTAGAACAAGAAGCTGTATGCAGAGAAGGATGCCAGGGTGCTGTGGGCTGTGGGCAGCAAGAGTTCTAAGATGTTCCCAAGATTCCTGCCCCCTGGTGGATACATGTTGTATAATTTCCTCCCATGGAGTGTGGTTAGAACCTATACAATTCAGGTTCCTCATGAGTTGACGGAGTTAATAAAAAGAAATATTATCCTGGTGGGTCTGACCTAATCAGGAAAGCACTTCAAAGGGGGTCTAGAGGTAAAGACATGAGGCATCAGCAGATGCTCTTTTTTTTTTGCTGACCTTGAAGAAACAGGATGAACGGAAGGTGGCCTCAGCCCTATGACTGCCAGACCCTGAATCCTGCCAACAACTGGAATGAGCCTCAAAAGAGATACAGTTGCAGCTGGCTCAGGGATTTCAACCTAATGAGACCCTGGGCAGAGGTCGCCACTAACCTGTAACTGGACTCTGACCCATGGAAAGCGAGGGGTGATAGATCTGTATTGTTTTAAACAGCTAAACGTCTGATTGTCTGTTATGCAACAGTAGAAAACAAATAACATGGACCAAATCATCCTGAGGACCCTCTGAAAAGAAAATAAGGAACTAGGGGCAGGAAGGACAGGACAGAGGTGACATCAGACACAGAAAAAAAAATGTCACAAAAAGACCAGAAATAGAAAAAAGATATAATGATCAGAGGAACAATTCAGGAGGATCAGCATCTAAAAATAGTTCACAAAAATAGAACAGAGAAGACCAGAAAGGAAATTGTCAGGCAAATAATAACATAACCTTTCCGAGAAACAAATGCCACCCGTCTCCATACTGAAGGACCCATGGAGGGTCCAGAATAATGAATGATAAATAGAGCACGCTAGGGCCAATCACTGTGAAACTTCACAACGTCAGGGCTAAGAAGATTCTGAAAGCTTCCACAAAGAAAAAAAATCAGTATACCTAAAAAGGAAAAGGACTCAAAAAGGCACTGACTTTTCAGTGACTCTGGGCATCAGAAAGCATTGGAACGTCAGTTTCCTGGTTTGCTGCTGAGTAAGATGTCACCTTAGGGGAGGGTGAGTGAAGAATCGATAAATAATAAACCAAAAGAATCAATCATCTTTCCTGCCTTTCCTGTTTAAACTTTATTTTAGGGCAACTAAATAGTTGACAAGGGAAAGCTCTTCCTGTAATCTACATAGGTAGAAGGCATGGTAGATTTTTTTAATGCCACTTTGCAATCTCCGATGAAATGTGTGCCTGAGGGGGAGGGTGTAGCTCAGTGGTAGAGTGTAGGCTTGGCATGCACAAGGCCCTGGGGTCAATCCCCAGCGCCACCATTAAATAAATAAACCAACCTAATTACCGCCCCCCACCCCCGCCACATACACACACAAAATCACAAAAAACAAATAAAACTAAAACTTAAAAAAATAATGTGCCTAGAAGACAATCATCAGTGGGTGTAAAGTCATTTGGTGAAAGGCTCATGGATCAGGCGTCAGACACCACTTAAGACACCTGGTCAATCTGCCTCAGTAAAAACGGAACAGCCAATCATCGGTCATGATGGGATGTCATAACGGGCACACAGCACCGCCTATGACAGCTGGGGGGCTGGAGGAGCGGGCACTGCTTTCTCCAAGGGAGGCTGAGCAGGAGGCGCCCAGGCGGAGTCGGCGTATCAGGCACCGGTGAATCGGGCCCAGAGAACGCCGGCTGGGGACCAGCTCTGGCCGCACGCCGGCAGCTGCGAGGATGACCGAGGGCAGAGGGAGGAGGAAGGCCAAGCCGCGCGAGCTGTGAAGGGCCCAACGGTGAAGGCAAACATGGTGGGAAGGAGGGAGACAGCCGGGGCCCCAGGGAGAGGGGGGGCGCAGAGCGCAGGACGAGGGGAGAGTCTGGCTCGTTTGTTTGCTTCGGTTCTTTCATGCACTGATGGGAGACAGAGCTGGGTGAGCAGCACTGACCTGAAGAACCAGAGCAGATGAGAGAGCAGGGGGAGGGCAGCAGAAGGCCCCACAGCGAGGGACCCGGTGGCCCAGGGAACCCCAGACTTCCCTTCTGGGGACACGGAGGGGGAGCTGATAAGAGCAGGGCGCTGCCCCCACTCAGCACCCCGAAAGTGCACAGAGAGCCCAAGGTGAATCTAATGAACAGAGTCCCAGCACGGTCATGGGCCTTCACAGCTCAGAGGCTGGCGCCTTCCCGCCCCCGTGGTCAGCCAGAGCGCCCACAGATGGACGGCAGGACACACCAACAGCACGGACGCCCCGCTGAACGCACACGGCAGGGACTGGATAATGGCCTGTGAACTGATGACAGGTAAATGAATCCTGTCTGATAGCATCGCTCCAGGGTCTTGCACCCCAGAACCATGGAACAGCTCACAGCGCTCAGGCCCTGTTCTGGCCCCGGGAAGTCCAAGTGATCCCTCAGGACACTTGGCTGAGAAGTCTGTTTTCACTTCTCAGATCTGCTCACTTAATTCAGGGCTTGTATACATGAGACGGGGCCCCACAAGTTCACACAAAGGGGCGGTCTTCCTCAGCATGTACAAAAGGAACATCCCACGAGAACACAAAAAATCATCCCACCAGGATGCTGTTTGGACAAACGGAAAACCTCCCTCCCACCACCGAGAGCAGGTCTGACCACACGCTGCCCAATCTCGTGGGCAGAGCAGCGCATCGGTCACTGTCGCTCACACCCCAGGACAGGCATGTGACTCCTGGAATGGCAGCTCCCAAACTCCCAAATGGAGGGCTGCCACCACTAACACATCTGTTTTTACAGAGAAAAACTTCCACACGCAATTTAATAAGGTTTTGCTGAATCCTTAAGTAAAGTTCAAGGCTGAGCAAACAGCCCAGCTAAATTCAGCCCCTGACAGAGAAGAGCTTCTGGCAAAGCCAAGTGCCATGCACAGCAACACCAAGGCAACAAAACCACCTGATAATCCCTCGATTCCGGGTCCACACCTGGGATACAGGTAACTGTTTCTAAAGTGAATATTGATGGCTTAGGGTTTATAATATTTATTCAAAACACGGGTGCTCACCACATGCTCATGGACACTTGGCTTCATCGCTCCCTTTACTAAACTTGGGGCACTACTCAGGCCTAAGTCCGCCAGCCTGTTGGCTGGTAGCTCCTCTCCCACAAACAATGGCACCTTCTGTTCACTTGGTGTCTGGCTTCCACCATCCAGGTGGTCTGATCAGAAGACACTCTGGAACATGAGCTTAAGTTCCCACAGGTGGTGACTTCTCCCCAGTCACTTACAGAAAGAAAAGTTTGGGCCACAAACGAAGGATTTACCATTGATAGTTTTTACAGAATTTCACATCAGAAAATGTAACAAAGTTTCTGATCCATGCAGATCCACCTGCAAGCAGGGTAGGATTTAAATGAACAAAACTCAGGACGGGCGCCCCAGGATGTGCGGAGACGGGACAGGGCTGCAGGCAGCCTCGCTGTACTCAGGGGTGAGGTCTTCCAAGGAGAAAGGCGACAAGGGCCCAGGTGGTGACCACGCCACAGACTCTGCAAGACAAGGACAGCGGTCAGTGGCCCGGATGGCGTGGGCTGGCCCCGCGTGTGAGCGGGCAGGTCTGAGCTGACACGGCCTCGCCCCACTTCCTCCCCAATTTAGTTCCCCCTGGTGTTCTTTTCTCCCAGCGCCAACAGCACACATTGCCCCTTGAGGTCATCTTTCCTAGCGATTTACGTTGGAGGGTGAGAGGAGAAAGGATTGCCCGGCAGCCAAGTTTTCTTCAACAATGCAGTTTCGGCAGACACAGCTCCTAACAGAAAGCCCACATCCTTCAGAGCTCAGTGAACAGCAACTCTGTCTTTCCAGTTGCTCAGGCCAAAGATGCTGGATTTAAACTTGACCCTGGTCCTGTCTGATTCCGCTCTCACCACCCCCACTCCCCTACATGGCCACCAAGCAGTCCAAGACACGACTGACCATGTGAGCAGTGGCCCGGCTTCCTGAAGTCCCCCTGCCCTGCGTCCTCCAGTGTCCCAGCACACAGACAGAGTGACGTGTCATCCTCTGCTTAGACCCTCTGTGATCCAGCCTCTTCCGAGGTCCTCACCTCTGACCCTCTCCTTGACTGGAATCCACCTACTGCTCTGTCCTCGTCTCCTTGCTCCTCTGTCACCTCGACGTACCAGACACCTCCCTTCTTTGAACAGCAACCCCCCAAGACCCTCTGCTCCCACCTCCTGACCCCACCACCTAGCACACCGGGCAGCTCAGCTGTCTGTCACGTGTGACCTCCCACTACGACCCGAGCTCCACGAGGACCGGGCTTGGTCTTCCTCACTGACAAAGCCCTGGGCCCAGGACAGGCCCATCCAGCAGATGCTCTCCATGCACGCACTGAACATTACCGAGTCGCCTGCAGGTCCCTACACTTGTCAGCGACCTCTTTACAACCACACCAGCTGGTGAACGTGCTTGACCCACTGGACAGTCCAAAGCCGCCTCAGCCCGGCCACTTACTGTAACAAGCAGTTGATGTTCGGGGAGTGTCTCCAGTACCGGTACAGGGAGACGCGCAGGGTCGGGTGGCCCCTGTACTCCTTCAGGACGCTCCGAGCACTGCCAACACAGGGGCTGGGTCAGGCGCGGTGCCGGGCCTGCTTGGCATGGCCGCAGGCAGAGGCGGGCGGCCGCGGGCGGGAGGGGCAGCCCAGAACCTCGGCACCTACTCCTTAAACCTGTTGGTCAGGAGCAGGAACTGGCTCTGCGTCAGTCTCCGGACGTCAAATTTGCAGAGATTCTGAAACTCGCGGTAGACTTGCTGCTCGCTGACCCCACGCCACCTCCTGACACTCAGGATGAGGATGGGAGGTCGGATGCTGGGGTAATCTGGACCAGAAAAATTCTAGAAGACAGAAGACGGCGATTTTCCCCAGTTCCCACTGACCACCAACCCTGTTTGAAAATCCTGAGAGACTAGGAGAGGCTCTGTTGGAGTTGGCAGCGGGGTGGGAGGGAGGCAGAGGAGAGAAGGGGGTAAGAAGCAAGTTCACATTGATTCTGGCAGGAAAACACAACGAGCTTAGCAGGGCATGAGCCCCTCTTTGACTGAGTTTGGCTGTCATCACAACCCATCTAAGACACCTCAGAAAACCCGGCTGCATCCCAGCACCAGCCTCTGAATGAAGGAAAGAGCAAAAAGAAGTCTACTTACGATCTTGGGGACCCCGGCTCGGATAAGATTCACCTGGTTCACATAAGGCGCCAGAACATCGAGGTAGAGAGGGAAGGAGGGCTCGGGCACGGGCACAGAGCTACATAGGCAGAGAACACCCCCTGGTGCTCAGGCACACAGGCGGCCATGCACGAGCCCCAGCACAGCTCAGGTCCAGGAACAGGAGCTGCCTGAGACCACCCTCCCGGCCTCCCTCACAGCTTTGGGGGCTTATATCAGTGTGCTCCCCACAAATGACCAATCTCCACAAGCTCTCGCGATGGCCCGAGCCAGAGCAGAGCTTCCAGGGCCACCACCCACGGGCAGCAGATTGGTAGAGAGCCCTCCGTTGACAGACATGAGCCACAGGCTCAGAGAACGAGCGAGTGGACGCTGCTGAGAGGAAGAGAAGCTTTCTCACCCGGCAGGACACCACCCTTGATGCCACATGGCCATCCCTCACCCCACAGCCTTGTTGGACCAGCAGCCCCGCCTCCCCCCAGGAGGACGGGCCCCAGGGAAGGCACCTGGCCCCGGGCTGCTACAGGACTTCTCTAAACCTGGGAGGGTTAAAGGCAGTTAAGGACGCAAGGCCCAGGTGCCAGGGCACTGACAGGCCCCGGGGCTGTCCAGCACGTGCGGACCGCCCGGTCAGAGCACAGGGAAAGGGGGCACGGGACAGAGATGTTCTTAAGCTATAAGCCCCACGTCAATGTGTCGTCGGCTATTTCTACACATAACACCCTTTCCCAAAATGGACACGTATGAGCAGTACCCAATTTAACAAGGTACAGTCTAAAAATGTTTCCAAGTCAGCCCCAAAGAACTCAATTTTGATTAGCTCCTTCACCCAGCCTGCTACATCCTGTTTACCAAATGTATGCGGCAAGAGCGGTGCCACAGGGATGCGTAGCTCGAGTGTGGAGCTGGTTCCTCTAAGCCCAGCACTGTAGGCATCTGGGGTGATGCTGCCACAAGCAAATGCATTTAAGATTCCACCTGGGAGTTTTGAGAATCTCTCCCGTGTGCCTCATTCCAAGTCACTGCTTCTCCCTAGCCTGACCGCGTGGACCCCAGGGAGGGATCACTTGTTGACCTGAACACTCTGTCCTCCCTCACTGTGATTTACATGACATGAGAAAATAGGAGGGTGACAGACAGAGCAAGCACACCTTGCTGGGAGCACTGAAGCAGGCGATGGAACCTGAGCCTGACCCCTCTGCCTCGGCGTTTGGCAGAGCATTTTCCCATGGCCAAGAGGCCAGGGTTCCAGGACCAGCCCCGGCGGGGAAGGCCGGGGCGGCGAGAAAGGCAGCCTACAGAGGAAGACCTCTTCCCATGAGTGTGTCCTTACACAGCGACGTCCGCATCCTCCCTCTTCGGGAGCCCGGGTCTGGGGGCTCACCAAGTCCTGCCACTGATCAGGGCACAGGAAGAAAGGACCACTCACCCGTGCACTCTCCATAGAAGCAGGTGTGCCACCCTCAAGAAAACTGGAAAAAAAAAAGCTAGAAATGTAACAGACAATCAAGGCTCAACCTGATCGCCTCATCAAAACATGCAAACTCAGGCTTTATTTCCACATGTGCAACCCGCCTGGAAGTAATCGGAGAGCCTGGGAGGTGGGGGTGGGGGCATGAGTCTCCCTTTAGAAGGACAGCAACTCTCACCTGATCCGCAGAGGAAGGCATCGTACGCTGCTTCATGGGGGTACTTTGTCTCAACTGGAGTGTTTTCCGGAAGCAGGAGAGATAGTCAAGCAGCAGTGAGCACACGGCCTGGGGAAGGAGCCTCCCCCGCCACACCGCCCCAGTTCCACGCCCGCGCCAGCTGTGCGCACACAAGCAGCCCCTGCTGCCCCTCCAGAGGCGCGCACCCTCCTCAGACGCCGGCGCCATCCTCGCCGGGGTCCTCCCCACGGCGCCAAGAGCACCCACGGGAGGGGTAAGCGGACAGCTTCCCGGCAGACTAACCACCCCGTCGGAGGGGAGCTGGCGGCCCCCGGGCCCTCCGACGCCTTCCAGAATGGCTCCTTTGGAGGGAGGGGGTTCTATGGAACACGACTCAGGAAACAAAGCCCCCCTCACTGCCCACGCCGGCCGCGTGGAGACCCGGCCCGAGCCCCGGCCGCTCAGTGCCGCGCCAGCCGCGGAGGGGCAGGTTTGCCGGGACGCACCGTATTTCTCACATTTGCTTGCGTGAATAATCACTGGCCCAGAATCCTTCGTGGGATTCAAGTCACTGTCAGAAAAATAAAGAATGTTCACTTGAGAACAATCCCTTCTTCCTCTCCCTCTTAGGTTAATGTAAGTAACTGGAATCATCACTGGAATTAAAAAAAAGAGAGGCCTCAGCACAGTCAACGATGCTGGGGGTGCAGAGGAAGGAACAGATTTTAAAACACTTAGGGACTAAAACTGACAGGACTTGACTAGAAGATATAGGAGGCCCAGCCCTGGGGCCCCTTCCGGGTCTCGGCTCTGGCCCGTGGGTGAATGGCGGTGGCACTCAGTGGGGATGCCTTCCCTTCATTTGTTTTCCAACATCATCTCCTAGTGCCTCTCCATGTGCTTAATATCTCAGAGCCCTATTTTCTCATCTGTCAAATGGCACACGCCAATGCCATGCGGCAGCCACTGGGATCAGGCAGACCGTCAGCAGCAGCCGCAGCAGGTGACACTTCGTAAGCGTGGACTAAGTGCCCGCACGGCCGTGAGTTCTGCCCCACACGGGGCTCCTTTAATCCTCAGGCTACATTGAGTTTCGTGCAACAACTGCCTCACTTCACAGATGGTAAATGTGAGGCACACAGATTAAGTAGTTCTTACCAGGTCACTCCCAGAGCTAGTGAGCGGCCAAGCTGGGAACGCAACCCAGGAAGCCGAGATTCAGAGCCTGTGTCTTGAAAACCAGGCTCTCACACCTGCACACATAGTGCCTGGCAGTGTAAGGACGGAAAAGAAGTCCTCCAGGCACGGAAGGTGCCTGTAGGCCACATGGTGTCTGGGTCAGTGAACGAGGTGACTGGGGTTGCCGAGGTCTGGGCACCGGTGGCACGGAAATGGTGGCAGCAGAGGCCGAGGGGGTGGATTTGGTCACCCAGAGACACGGTAATCAGCCAGAAGAGGGCTGTGGAGGGACCCCTGAAAGATGAAAGGGACGCATGGAAGAACAAGGGCCTGCAAGGAAAAGATTAAAAACCCACTAGAAGAGAAGAGAAACCCAGGAGAGGACACGACAGAAGGTGAGACAGGACAGGGCCCAGGGTGTCCGGTGCCAGACAAGGTGACACCTAAGCACCACCACCTGCCACGTCTGTTCCAAGTGCCTTCTGTGCATCGTCCCATCAGCTGAGACAGGAGACGAGTTTGCACCAGGCAACCACCCCAGACGGAAGGGAAGAACAAAGACGGAGGTAGCAGGAGTGGAGAGCTGCAGGGCTCCATAGCTCCAAGTCAGAAGAAGAGAAGGGAACGACTGAGGAGGAGGCTGAGGCCACAGCAGGTGGGGCGGGCTGCCGAGCGGAGGGAGGGTGTGGGGTCCGGAGCAGGGAGGCCAAAGGAGCGCAGCCCGCCCTGCCTGGGTCCTGTGTGCTGGCTGATGGGAGAGACAGTGGCAAAGATGACAATGCTGCAGAAATGTCTAGAGGGGAGGAGAGGCGGGTGGAGATGCCTGCCTCTGGCCTTGTACTTATTTCTTAGAAATGAGGACCAGGAGGGCCGTCTGAGAAAGGAAACGAGGAAGCATGAGGGGCCGGAGGAGGCTCTCACTTTAGAAATAACTGCTACCGTGAGTAGGAAGGATCGGGGGAGGGTATGGCTCAGTGGCAGAGCGCATGCTTAGCACAGGGGAGGTCCTGGGTTCAATTCCTGGTACCTCTGCTGAAAAAACAAAAGCCTAATTACCTCTCCTGAAAGTTTAAAAATACATAAACAGGGACTGGTCTTCCTACAGGAAGGCCAGGGAGGTCACTCATTCACTCAAGTGCGCCCACCATGCCTCGCCCTGCTGCAGGCCCAAGAGAAACAACAGGGTGCAAGAGGAAAATAAAACCTGGAGCTTGTCACTCCAATAGTCCGAAACAGATCAAAAGGAAAATAAAAGCCTGGCTAACAGAAAACACGATATAACTAAATAGCTGTAGGCATTTTTCCAGGCCCCCTCCCCTCTAGAGCAAGATTTCTCAGCCTCAGCACCAGGGACATTCTGGGCTGGAGATCCTTTGAGTTGGGGCCTGTCCTGTGCACCCGGGCCTCTACTCACTAGCACCCCTGAGCTCAGCACCACGCACATCGCAGCATCACCAAACGTGCCCTGGGGAGCAAAGTCGTCCCGACAGGGAACCCCTGCTCTACAGCAGCTCCGACAACCAGCCTCCTTACCTGTTCAGGATGTCGTGAAGCTCTGAGAGACTTGAAACCCTTGGGAAATTCAGTTCCTATAATTATGGAAGACAAATTAGACTAAGACATTTGTAGGTTTGCTTATTGTCTGTTTCAGGTATTACCAAACGGCCATTAAAATCACCTGGAAAGTGCTAACTCCTATAACCCCTCTCTTCATACATACCTACTCTTATTCCTTAATTTGGATGTCAGGGTACATAGTGTCTTCGGGTTTCCTATAAGGGACGTAACAACCCAGCCTACAAAAAACCTGCCACAAACACACCTCACACCATCTTCCTTCAAAGACAAGTGTTTAAGAGGTTTGAGAAACTCAGGACCCCAAGGCACCAGACCGCGACCAAGGACACATGTAGGACACTAGGCACTCTAAGGACCTGCCAGGTCCCCCAGTCCCAGCATTCACCTCGTCCTGTGCAGAAAGGAGCACATGCTGGTTCCCGCATGTCAGGCCCCGTGTCCCCCCCACTTCAGCTGAGGACCCCGCTGGGTGGAGACAGGCAGTATCACAGAACCAGGGCTAGAAGTACATGAGACCCAGTAAGAAGTGTGCCTCCGGGCAAGGACATACCAAGTAACCCAGGCCCATTAGTGTGGCTCCCTTAGTGAACGATTAGCTTTGATCAGCTTGAGGCTTTACTGAAAACACTGATTGGCCTCCCCTTTCTCTGTTTCTCAGTTTAACATTGAAGCAGCAGTTAAACCAGCCGGGTGCTTCCCTGCTCCACGTGCAGTGCACAATCCCCGCTGCAAAGTGGAAGTTACCTGGCAGCTTCAGAACCAGCCCCTCTAAACCAGAGAAGCTGCAGGTGGGGCCCAGGTCTCAGTACTTAGCTTCCCAGGTGACTCGAGTGTGTCATCCAGGTTGAAATCCCATGACCCTAATGCTCAGTAAACTTTTCCAAGAGGGAACTCCACCCCTTAACCCTGAAGCTCGTCTAGCATGTTGCAAATACTCCCCAGGTGTGTGCCAAGCTCGCGATCAAGCTGCTCTGTTGTCTATCTAAATAAGCACGTGAACTTTACACAAAGACGTGGGAACTCGAATAAGAGAAAGAAAAAAATCACATGTGAGCTAGTTAAGACTCAGAATGGTAAAGCAGAACAGGAAAACCAATACTGGTTGTAAAATACAAGAAAGGGGTTCAAGAAAAAATTTTTAAAGAGCGAGAAAGCTAAGTGTCACTGGGACAAAGCTCTCCTTTCCCCGAAGCAACGCTTACCTTCCAGATGTCCTTTGTCACATTCTTGGTGTCGATAAGAATAGGAAATAGATTGTGGATGTTCAGCTTGAATTCATCGTAGCTTTCTGAAGGAAAAAACCCAGATAGAAGTGAGTTTGTTGGTAAAAGCGGGAAGAAATTCTCCAATCTGGTTGTCACCAACTCGGGCTAATAAAGCAAAAAAAACAATAGGAATTGAAAATATCCTTACTCCTAATCATGAAAGATTTCTAAATCTCAAACCAACCTGCCATCACCATTTGAAACAGCAGGAGCCAAAAGGTTTTCCATTTTTCAGGATACTGTCTATTGCCAACATTAGCTAATGCAGTTTGCAAAGTTCTAGCCAATGGAAAAGGGAGAAAGAGGTGTTACTGGATAATGTGAATATCCCAACAGATGTGAAATTATTTGTAAATGACTATTCAAAGGAAAATCCAAGAAGTTAAAAAAAAATTGATCAGGGCACTTACAATTTTAAACTATTAACTGGTATATTTATCAAAATTATACCTGCATAGAAGGGAGGGTATGGTTAGTGGTAATGTGTGCTGAGCATGCATGATGTCCTGCGTTCAATTCCCAGTATACCCATCAAAAAATAAACAACCCAATTACCTCCCTCACTCCAAAATTATACCTGCAAGTAGTTCAAAGAGGTTTATTGCAAGACAAACCAAAATCCCCCCACTATCCCTCTTTTCATTGCCCTCCCCTTTCCTATTCCCCCAAAGCAACTACTTTTCAGTTTTTCCTTCTGGTGTTTATTCCCATCTCCCTAAATAACATGCTGATGCTGCTAGGGGACTTCCTGCTTTGGGGCACTAACTGCTGACTCCCAGGAGGTAAGATGATCGTTACCTGTTCCACCTCCAGCTCCTCCTCATTGCCAGCACCAGCCCATTACCTGCCAAGGGGCCAAGTGGCCTCCTCCAGTGACTTCCTCTCTGGCAGTTTTTGTTTCAGCAATGTTTTTGTTCATCTGTTTGTTTAGTTTTTCAGTGAGTGATTGTTAATTTTACCCCTAATTCTCCGCTAATACTCTCAGTGTTCTCAAACTGAGGTGTTTTATCATCTTAGAGAATCTCTCCTAGAACCCTCTTTCAATCTATGCTGGTGTTCTCTGTACTTTAGTTCATTTAATCCCAGAGCAACTTTGATACCGACACTATCATTACCCCCATTTTACAGACAACGAAACAGAACAGGTACGTCACAGTAACTTGCTCAAGATCACACATGACAAGGGGTGGAATCAGGGCTCAAGCAAGACTTCTGAATGCATGTGTTTTAATGCTCCATCACACCGCTGTGTCCAACGGCATCAGCCACGGAGAAGACTGGGACAGCGGTAAGACAGTAACACGGCCTTTCAAATGATGCTAGCGTAACGACATAAATAAATGCTTTTGGTAAGTGGAAAAAAAGCCAAGCAAAATCAAACAGTGTGGTCACATACGCAAAAAGCCACAACAGAGGAAAAGCAAAGTGTTAGGATTATAGCTGAGATTAAAAGGTAGCTGGTCTCCTTTGCACATTTCTGATTTTGCCAAGTTTTATACAATGAGACCGAACAACTTCAGTGGTGGGGGGAGGAATGTATCAATTCAAATGTTTTTCTCCCTGAGGAAGTCCCCCAGTTCCAGGAGGATGGTAACAGGCTCCGAGGAAGGAGGAGGACAGGTGTGTCCCTACCTGGGAGAGGCCTGAAGAACTTCTCGTGGAGATGTAGCAGATCCATCATCATATTATGTCCCACCAAGGGCTGCTTGGAGGAAATCGACAGGTGAGAGATGAAATTTTAAAAATAAAACAGACACTGTAGACTAATCACTGTCTCTGGCAAAGGGTGTAGCATTAGAACCGACTGCACTCCGACAAGACAGTTATTCCATTCCCCAGCTGCACTCCACCCCCATGAAAGGGAGCTGGACTGCTTAAATGCCAGAAAAGCAAGCAGCCAGTCGGAGGGACTTGAAGCCTGGGCCACACTGGGCATCCAAGCTGTGAAGCAGATACATGCAGCCCTCAGGTAGCTTCAGGTCAGTTAGTACTGAAATACCCATGTGCCTGAAAGACGCAAAGATGACTGATTTGGGGAAAGACTGTCCCTATGAAATATTACTATCATCATTTGGTGAAAGCAAGGTTAGATCCATAAAGCCAGGTAACAAAAAGGAATCACTCATCTTAAGGAACCTTAGTTTACCACTGAAGGGCCTGTTAGTATCTACAGCCAGAAATACAGAAGACGGCTAAGGACCAAGAAAAGAGATCTTTTCCTGCCTTCTGGGCTTTCACCAGCATCTGGAAAAACACAGAGAAACCCCTTGCAGAGAGGAGAGTCTTCTCCTTCCAACAGCTCTCTCGATCACATGAGGTGTTCTCAAGATACCAGCGATGCTGTTTACTCACTTTCTTCACTATCACCTGAAAGGAAAAGTAGACAAGGTCCTTGAATCCTGGCTTCCAGGGAACGAGGCCAAAGAAGTGGTCCTGCAGCTCAAAAGGAAGAGGGGACAAAAAGCCTTTCCCAGAGGTCAGGTTTGGCTGAACAACAGAGAAATGATGGAGCCACCGAGGTGGCCCCCCTCCAGGTGAGAACTCACCCCATGATCTCTCAGCATCGTCCAGATGTCGGGGAGGGCCTTCCTCAGCACGAGCTGGACCTCGAAGGCTTGGAAGCCTGCAGCAGGGAAACACATGGCTTGCTCAGACCCCCGCAGACCCTGGGATGGCAGCCCTTGCCCCGAAAAGCCCGAGAGGAAGAGCAGCTGAGAGATGGCTGGTCAAGTGGAAGGCCAGCTCTCAGGTGTACCCAAGCCCACGAGGCCGAGCGACAGGGATGGCACGGCATGGTCTAGGGCAGCTTTCTGAAAGTCCCTGATCTCAGGGACGCTCTGAAATTGAGGACCCCAAAGAGCCTTTTTGTGTGTGGGTTCTCGTTCTTGATACCCACCATGTCAGAAAATTAAAACTACACAAGAAATTAAAAATTGCAAAGTTTAAAAAACAAGCCCATTATACTTTTGCCCATGATTTTATAACATCAAGCATCAGTCATCTGAAAAACACTGGTTTGCTGAGTTACACGGGTCTTCCCAGTGTTCACACGTTACACACCATCAAAAGACACTTGTACACACAGCCACCGATCTCATTAGAAAAGACTCATAAAGCTGTCAAGCTTATGGTGGCAGACGCAAGTATTCCAAAATTCCAGTTCCTGACTGAAAGCTCAGATTTCATCTCTAGCAAATACTGTTAGTCTCCTCGAAGCAACAAGGCTTACTTTTTCACTTGAGAAAATGACTGAATACAACCAAGTCTGACTAACCACAGTTCAAGTAAAAATTATATTCCATGAGGGGGTGAAAAAAAAAAAAGCTAGTTCAGCTTTCAACACAGAAACTTACCTAAGTGCTTTTCCTCAAGCCAACCGGTAAGCAGCAGTGATGTTTCACGCGCACTTATTTTTTTGCACGTTATTTTAAAAGATGGGCAATCAAAGGTTGAGATTTAATAAAACTAAGAATGACTATTTCACAGAGAAGATTAAATAAAATTGGAATCTTTTTTTTAAACCGTACGTGGTAACAAAGAATACCATGACCGCCAGGGTGGTCTGAAGCTCCCGCCCTCACTGTGCCGAGGTGCTGGCCAGGGTACCCACCAGCACTTCAGGACCATCAGTGCAAGTGGCATGGTGACAATGGGGATTGATAGCTGATTAATGTTTTGACTAAAGTTATGATTTTGTGAACCCCTTGGAAAGAGCCTCAGAGACCCCTGGGGCCCACAGACCAGGGCTGAGAACTGGAAATCTAGGGCACATTCATTGGTGATTCCACATTGTACTGGGGGGCAAAATTCAGAGCTTAACAAAAGTAAATATAGTAAGAGTCCACAGGGCACTGAGGATTGGGATAAAAAGGATGGCTCTGGATGGAACTTTGCTGCCTCAACCTTAGATTTCAGAATGGGTTGAAAATCCTTCAGCCTCTGAACTAGGGTCAGAGCTTGATCTAGGCACAAGGACCTCACGTCTGCTGAGCCAATGCCCTGGACCCACGGGAGGAGAAGGGATGCTCCCCCACCCCCGGCTCGTGACAGCGACCAGTCCCGAGGCTCCCAGGCTGGGAGTCACCTCCTGCCTACCAGCGATATCAGGGAGGGTCATCCAGTCGCCTTCCTCGGCCAGGTCCAGCCAGCGTGTCACCTCATCGATCACCACTTTGATCTGGTCTTTGTGCAGAGAACTGAAAGTGGGCACATGAACGTGGAGATGTGGGAGGAGACAGTGCTAATGTGGGAGGGGTTTCTGTGGCCTTCTGTCTTAACATCGAGATCTCAACAAGGAAATGGGCCCCAAAAAGACCACTTCTTTCCCGGGTCTTATTCTGCAACAGGAAACCAAACACGTGGCCTCTACCCTCCCACCGGCCACATGAGCACGCCCAAATCCTGCCGCTGACAGGCCAGTGGAGGGACAGGTGCTGGGAGCCAGCCAACACTAAGCAACGTTATCAGGCCTGAATCTCAATCCAGCTTTCAGAGGTGAAAAAGCACCGTCTGGTGAAATGAGGGAAAGGCAGGCGCTTTGGGAAGTGCATCTTCTCCTGCATTAGAAGCAGAAGGACATGATGTTACGCTGAGAAGGGGAAAGACTTTTCTACAACATTTGAACATAACAGAAGGTTATGTTCTAGAGTTTAAAACTGTCTGATTTAACTCCCTTTATGATAAAGGCAGACTCTGAAGCCCAAAGAGCATAAACACCTGGTTGAAAACCACACAACTGGTGGCCAGCAGGGCCTGCCTGGGCCCAGGCAGCTGCTCCCTCCAGCACACAGGGCTGCGCCTCACACCTGGCCCCAGCGCTGCAGGCCCGGGAGTCAAGCAGGACAACTGGAACCGGGGACCAAAGAAAAAAGGCAGAGATCCTGCCCTTGGGGAACACAGCGGGATCAAGCACATGGAGCAACATGCCGAGGAATGTGACACACGGTCAAGTTGCCTGCGATTTACCTGAAAAACACCTAAGATCACATGGAAGGCCAGCACAGCATCTCACGTTGAGCCCAACAGAGCCATTTCCCCCTTTAGCACTGGGACGGAGTTCTTGCTTCTCTGAGTGCCAAACTAAGTCAGTTCTTAGTGGGCTGGGACATAGCTCAGTGGTGGAGGGAATGAACTCTGGGGTTCAATCCCCAGTACTTCCATTTAAAAACAAAACCAAAAAATCCCCCAAAAACCCAATTATAATAAAATTGAGTAACTTAAAAAAGTCAGTTCTTTTTCCCCATCATTTTAAACACTGAAATCACACTCTATGCAGGGAGATTTCTTGTCTCAGGTGTAAGAATGGAATCACCAGCACTTCAGGCTACTGTGTTTGGCTCAACACAGGCCAAGGCAGCCACACTAGCTAAAGGAGACGGTGTAAGGTCACCATGTTCTGGAGACAACACGTCTACACACAGGAAAGCCAGAAACACACCAGCAACAAAGAAACCCACAAAGCGCCCAGAGAACCAGACTTACCTGCAAACTCTCCAGTTCCCAGTCAGGATGCTGTGTTTTATTGTCTTCTCCTGTTCTTCGTTCATATATGGGATTCCTTTTTTGAGAAACTAAAACAAGGAAATAAGTCAGAGGCATCCTCCATGCCAGCAGCAGAGTGGAAAGAAACTTTGTCTGGTTTCGCACAGGCAGCAAGGGGAAGAGGAGGTGGACGCAGAGGCCAGGTGGACCAGATGGCCTTTAAACCCTTTCCCTCCCCACCTCTCCTCTGAAGCCATACCTTGTTATAGTCGAAGCCATACCGATTCAAAAACTGAACGCTGGAAGCCTGGAAAGAGAACTCTGAATCCAAAATCCCAAACGTTGTAGGGAAGAGAAAGAAGTTACATGAGTGGGCTACATACCTAAGGGGGAAAAAAATGAGAAAAGGGCGGAACCATTTTTAAAACTCTGGCTCACAGAGCCAGCCCCAGAGTGGGCTCTTCCTTTCATTTGAGAAGTACAGCCACGTACAATTACAGTCGGCCCTGTGTCTATACACGGGTCCTCCACATCCCAGTTCTTTCACATCCCAGGACTCAAACAACCACAGATCATGTAGCGCTGTAGTACATATTTAGTGAAAGAAACCTGAGTGGGCCCATGCAGTTCACATCCCAAGTCATTCAAGGGTCCACCACATTTGAATGTTAGCTATGCTTCAATTACTATGACTGGTACTGAGGGCCAAAAAAGAACAGCAGAGATCCTGCCCCACCTGGGACCAGTGGGGCTGCCATTCAGCACCCTGTCTGTTGGGGCCTGGGGGCTACACCACCCTCATCAGAACAGTGTTAACTGCAATCCTGAAGGCGATACAAGAGACAAGGAAAAGAGAAAAAGGGCACCCAAAGGTACAGAGGTGCTAGAAAAGGCCCCAGGAATGGTGCTGCTCTGAGAAACCTGAAGGACCAGCCAGTATCGGCTGGGGGGGCAGGGCGGGGGCGGCACAGAAGCAGGAGAGGCCACGGAGCATCCAGGGCCACACTGGTCAGAGCCTGAAGCAGAAACTGGAGGTGGAGCAGGTGGAGAAAATAAATGGGCAAGAACCATGTGTTTTGTCAAAGGTTTTTATACATACTTGCTTGACTCTCCTTCAATACTGGAGAACACTGACAATCCTAGAAGAATCATGGTAGAGAGAATGAACACCAAAGAAAAGCTACCAGAAGTTTACTACAGAAAAATATTTTTAGCAATACGTGCACCCAAAGATACTGTGTAGGCTTTAAGATTATCTCTTAAACAAAAGAAAAGATAGATTCAAAACATGAGAACTGTCAAGTTGTAACTCACAGTGAGATGACTAAAATATCATTATAAATGTTACCGCAAACATGGAATGTTAAGTTGACATTTTTAGTTTTAAAACTAACTAAAGGAAACACTATAAACTATGAAGACTTATTCATTTTACTGCTTTAAGATGTTTCTGTTGCTAAAAAGACCACAAAGTGAAAAAGACTTGGAAGCACGGGCAGAACAACAGAAATGTGCCCCAGTGCGGTTTCCCACACTTTGCAAAGAGTGAAGAAAAGCAATCACAGTAGAAAAATAGCAAAAGACAAGGATAAGGAACAAAACACACACAGGTGTTCATCATTCACGGCAAAAGCAAGAATCAGTAAAATGTCTCATGACCTGTTTTTGTAGACAAGGTTTTACTGGAATACAGCCATGCTAATTCATTTGTGTATTAGCTGCAGCTGATTTCCCCTTGAACAGCATAATTGAGTAGTTGTAACAGAGACCATATGGCCTGCAAAACGTAAAACATTTAGTCTAGCCCATCACAGAAAACGTTTGCTGATCTTGTATTAAAAATGTAAATCAGGATGACAATTTTGGGTCATTTTCCCTCTCCCAAGTGGGCAAAAAAATTTAAGATTGATAATACCCAGTGTGAGTGATGGAAACAGGCACATTCATTGTTAGTGTAAGTTGTTGGACGAGCAATAGTTTGGCAACAAATCAACACTTTAACGCACATACACTCTCCTGCTGTAAGTATACCAAACGTATATGCCCACAAGCGCACAGTCATATATAAATACCAAGACAATCAGTGCAACCTTGTTCCATTACACACAAATGGTACCCACCATATGCATCATTAGGAGTTGGCACCAACAGATACAGTCACTTTGGAATGCTATGCCATTGTTAAAAATGAACAAGAGATCTGTATAAGCTGACACAGAAAGATCTCTAAATGCCATTAGTGGAAAGATGCAGAACGTGTTTATAGTATGATCTTGTTTTGTATGTTTTCTTTCAGCAAAAATCATACACACATTTTCCTGAAAGATGGTGCGAGTTCCTTAATGTTGATTTAGGCATGGAAACTAAGGTTCTGCTTATTTCAAAGCGTTAGGTCCTGTAGGCATAACACGGTCAAAAACCAAACAAGCATGCAAACAACAGCCAGTATCTCAGAAAGGTGCCAAAGCTGTTGTACCAGTGGGAAACACAAAGACAATAAAAATATCCCCTTCAGTAACTCAAACAGCCGAAGATTAAACTCACCTATCTGACAGATTGTGAATTGCTGAACACTCTGACGAGTCTTTAGATACCACTCTGACGGCAAGTCAAAAAGACTGCGGAAAAACGGGCATCTCAGTCCACAGGCAATGAGAGCCAAACCGACTCCACGCTGGATGGGCACCTCTCTACCAGGGGCTGCATCTTCCCTGCCACAACAGCTAGGCAACACTGCCAGCGTTTCGTGGACAAGGGCCTCAACCTCCCCACAAAATGTTGTCCTGCCCGCGCAATGCCAACACAGGGCCTGCTGAGAAACAGTGCTGGCTGGCTGGGATGCCATCCAGCAGGGCACAGAAGAGCACCCCTCCAGCACAGCTCTAAGGCAGCTGGAGCTTTACCTGATCTGCTGGGGCCTGGACAGGTTAGAACGAAGGCCTGTGAATTCTATATCCAGACCTGCAAGGGAGGCAAAAAAGACAAGAGTCCCGGGGTACAGAACACTGCCACCTCCCTCATGCTGTAAATGCTGTAGGTGGCAAAGGTACTGGTCACCTTCTTGGTGCTCAAGAGGCCAGGTGAGGTCAAGAAGGGAAACCAGAGGAAGACAAAGCAAGGACAAGCCAGGCCACCCCGTTGCACCTGGACCACACTGGGGACAAGTGTGTAATTGCTGCTTAACTTCCCACAGCCCAGGCCCGAGAAGGAATCTCTCTGTCCTGCTCAGGGGCCCTATTTGAGCCTCCTGCGGCCTGGCGACCACCCGGCTGGGCCTCCCCTCTCCGCCCTGTCCCGCCCGAGCCACATCCTCCGCAGGCTCGCCCGGCCAGGGCGCTCCGGCGACGAGGCCCGC